AATATCATGAAAATAAAAACGCAAAGATCTTAGATTCTCAGAGTAAGTTAAGTAAGTTAAGGTTCCTCCCGTTGATCGTCGATTTGCTCGAGCGGGCCCAGTAACGTCTCCATTGGAGACTTTGTTGTTACTGTGTCTGGCATATCGAATACTCTCGGTAGCTTGCCGGGCTTTCTGAGAGGGGCGGAGGAATCGAACTCGGGTCGGCCATGTTGGCTGCGTGCAAGGCAGACGCCCTACCCGCTGTGCTACCAGTTTCGAAAAGAGTTGCCAGTTTTTTTAATTGCTCACTAAAATCTTTTGCCTTTGTTATATCATCCTGGCAAGTCAGAAATCCTCTAAGTATCTCATCATTTTATTCTGGTACAGCTTTCTCTGGTTTTAAATCATCCGTAGATGACGGCGACGTTGTAAATCCAGCAGGCCGCTGCGTGACTGAGATCCTCCTAGCAAGGCAGGAAGGAGCCAGTTCTATTTCCACAGGGTCATAAATTGTGGGAGCACGCTGGCCTCTCACTCTCTGCTCAGGCTGGGGAGGGCAAGCCTGAACCGTGGCAGCCGGCGATGGCTACTGGGCAGCTCACACTGGGGCACGACGAGGTCTCAGGCAGTTCCCAGGGCGATCACCTGCAGCCTGGCCTGAGCCCGGGTCCTGCTTTTACCTGCCCGAGTGTTGCTTGGCACAGCCCACCTGTCCCACGTATCACTGATATGTCCTCATCTTCTCCACATGGGGATTTTGTGCCCACCCGGTCCCCTCCAGACTGCTTGGGTGAGCCTTGCATGCTCCCTCCATTGGGGACACTGCGTGACTGCGAGGGGCACCCGCCACTCAGGGCATCACAGGCTCCCCTCCATGTGGTCTGAGCCCACACAGCCCCGCCTGGCCTGAGATCTCCCTGGGGACACTGGAGCATGGGCTTGGGGGACACTCTGGGGATGCTCTGAGCTTGGGGTACCCCCGTGGTTGTCAGGGGACCATGAGTTTCGGGGCTCATCAACTGACCCGCGTGCAGAGCCCCCGAGCAAGTGTGACCCCCCTCAGCCCCTCCCCTCGTCCTGGCTCTTTGTTCCGTGGGCCACGTGTCATTTCCCAGGATTCTGATAAAGCCTTCCCCAGCTCTGGAAGCCCACAGACTGCTCCCTAGGGCCCTTCCCCCAGGCCAGTGGAGAGAAAGGCCCCCGAACACACCCCTGCCCACTTCGCCCTCGGTGCCGTGCCCGCAGAGACAAGCGGGCATCTCGCAAGAGTGAGAGCGCGTGACCCGCACTGACCCTTGTTTCACGAGGCGGGCAGTCCCCAGTGCCCGTCGAGACATGCCTCTCCTCCTTCCCCGGCAGCCCTGATGCCCTGAGAAGTAGGAGCTTGTGCCAGTCAGAGATTCGCTCTAGAAGTGGTGACATGGTGGGGCGAGGGGGTGGCAAACAGGCCTTGGGAAGCCCCCATGGCAAGCCTCATGGTCCATGTGAGGGACGTGTAGTGGGCTGGCGGCCACGGTCCTGGCATTGCCACTGAGCGCCCATGGCAGGAGAAGCTGGGCAAGCAGACCGGGCTGTGCACACCTGGACCCACCATCACGACACCCCCAGCTGCTCTGCTGGTGCCGAGACCCCCAAGGGCCTGACTCTGGCCACTCCCATCCTCACCCCACAGACCAAGGCTCTCTCTGGGCTCAGCCGTCCTCACCCCCGTCCCGTCACGGCCTTGCAGGGACAGTGTCCCAATCCCACGGCACCCTCTAAGCTGGGCCGTGCTGCATCTTCACCCCGAAGTCAGGCTTCTTTTAAGACATAACCCTGGGTAATTCTTTTCTTTTTTTCTTAAAGATCAATAATGTTAACATTTTAGCATCCCGTTTATACGATTCTGGCCACTCTCCTTAAATCGCCGTTAGACTTTACTCAATACCTGTTATGTCCTTAATAGAAAATAAAGTTCCCTGGGATCCCTCAGTAAGAGCGTTTCCCCGGCCTCCGTTGATTATTGCCGACATCAGTCAGATTCCTGCTTATCCAGGCGGCAGCGAGTGCTCCGGGCAGGGCAGCCAGGAGGGCATCTCCCCGCCCCCGCGTTATCCAGGACCCCAGCGCCCTCACTAAGGAGGGCTGCTCGCACGCTTCCTGTGTATGAGCTTCGCGTGTATACCGTGCTCGGGAATTCAGATGCTTTGGGTGAATTTTGAGAAGCTTTGAGAGGGTTCGCAATGTTTCTTCTTCCAAACAGGACGGCAGTGAGTGACTCCGGGGCTGGAGGGTGTCCGATGGTCCTGCTCACCTCGCAGGACAGAGGACAGCTGGCCGCTCGGCTCATGGGCCCTCTGCGCACACGGGCTCAGCTCCGTGCAGGCCCGTCCTGAAACCTCTCCTGTGAAGGAGGCTGTGTATTGTGTGTGTATCCTGTGTGTATTGTGTGTTGTGTGTTTGTGTGTGTATCCTGTGTGTGTCATGTGTATGTGTTTGTATGTGTGTCTATCATGTGTGTATCATGTGTGTCATGTGTCTTTGTGTGTATTATGTGTGTATTATATGTGTGCATGCACGTGTTTGTGTGTGTTATGTGTGTATAGTGTGTTGTGTGTTTGTGTGTATTGTGTATGTAGTGTGTGTGCATGTGTGTTTGTATTGTGTGTAGTGTATGTGTTTGTATGTGTATTGTGTGTCATGTGTGTGTTTGTGTGTATAGTGTGTCACATATGTGTGTATTGTGTCATGTATGTGTTTGCATTGTGTGTGTCATATATGTGTTTGTATTGTGTGTCGTGTATGTGTTTGTATTGTGTGTGTCGTGTATGTGTTTGTGTGTGTCATGTGTGTCATATATGTGTTTGTATTGTCTGTGTCATATGTTTGTGTGTATCATGTATGTGTTTGTGCGTATTGTATGTGTTTCTCTGTGTGTTTCATGTGTGTGTTTGTGTGTATTATGTGTATCGTGTGTATTGTGTGTCGTGTGTGTTGTATGTGTACATGTGTATCATGCATGTGTGTGTGTGTGTGCCATATGTGTGGACCCCAGGCCGTGCGGCTCCTGTGGGAGCTCCCTCTCCCGTTCTCCTGGGGAGGGCCCACAGGGCAGTGTCCCTGGGAGGCCCCGGGCAGCCTGAGGAAGGCAGCTGTGGTCACTGTGGCTCCACGCTGCCCACTCGCTCAGGGGCACTGCCCCCTCCCTTCCCGCCCCCTCCCTCCATCTTCCCAGGGGGTGCTCCCTCCTGTGGGCACTGGGGTGCTCGGGACCGCCGGGGCTCACCACAGTGTCCTGCCCACCCCTGCCCCCAGCTCCTGCCAAAGCCCAGGTGCTCCAGGCCGCGCCCGCACAGCACCCGGCTTGGCCGCCCTCTCTGGCTGTTCCCTTTGAAGTTTCTTTGTTCTCCTCTTGTTTCCCCTGTTCAACATCTGACGTCTCTAGGACATGCCAAGAATTTAAGTTATTATTTTCCACGGATTCCAGTGTGTTTAATTCTTCCTAAAACTTCCATTTTTTCATCTGGAATTGTTTTCCTTTGCCTCAGCGCGCGCGTGCATACACACACACACACACACACACACACACACATACACACACACACACATGCACATGCACACACTCACACGCAAATGCATACACGCACACACGCGCACGCACATACACATGCACGCACATGCACACACGCGCACGCACATACACATGCACGCACATGCACACACACGCACGCACACATGCACGCACGCACGCACACACACACTCACACACATTGTATCGGTCAGCACACTTCTCCATTTCTCTTCCCTGAATCCAGATCGCCTTCACTTCAGCTTTGCAGGGTCTGTCTCCCTGGCCCCGGGTCCAGGTGCTGCTGGCTCTGGGAACGGCCCGTGAATCACTGTGTTCTGACTATGTCCCATTTCAGCGAGCCCTTGCTCACTGCTGAGCCGTAAAGCCCAGGTGCCGTCTTCAGTCAGATTTTCAAAGCTTTTTGCTTTGGCTTCTGGCACAGTTAATCAAATTGCCTTCGGGGTTTTTGTGGTTATTGTTGCTGGTGGTATTTGTGTCTCTTGTGTGGTTTGCTCCACTTCTCAGGTGTGTGCTCTGAGGCTGCTTGGCAGACTTGGAGCTGTCCTCCCTGAGCAGACTGGGCGTGTCACCAGGACCCACCTCCTTGCTGTGGTCCATCCGCCATCTCCGCCTGCCGTCTTGGCTATGGGCAAAGGCCCCATCCACTGGTCTAGATCTGGACCCGCCTGTCGGGATGATGCGTCGTTGGGTGTGTCTGTGCTCCCCATGTGACTTCTGGTGGTGCCATCTCTACACAACCAACCCCAGCCTCTGCGCAGGCAGCCGGAGTGACCACAGCCCCCGTTGTGTGCCCTGAGGGACTGTCAGGCTCCCTGTCCTCTGAGGACGGTCAGCAGCCCTGATGCTGGGCAGCCCTGGGCTCTGCCCTCCCTGCCCGCCCGCCCACCGAAGGTGCTCGTGGGCAGCAGGGAAGAGGGGACCCAGGACTCCCCTGCTCCCTCTGTCCCCTGCTGCAGAGGGCTCGGAGGAGGGCCGGCAGTGCTAGCCAGGGGACGCTCTCCTGCCAGGTACCGAGAGTGCCAGTGGGCGTGGAAGCCAGAGCTAGCACCGCTAAAACTGGTCCTTGGCTGGTGAGAACTAAGGAGAGGGACCGGGGAGGGGCAGCTGACAGCAACGGGGAGCATGGAAGGAGACCTGGGGCGAGAATCCTAACGGAGTTGTTCCATGGGCTGTGTCCCCGAGCTTCCGGAATGTTCTGAGCTGATGTCACTCCTCCAGTTGCTACTGCCCCCTCCCCCCCCCCGCAGCCCTTGGGAGAATCTCAGCGGACTTTCAGCTCTCCAAGGGGCCCGAGGGGGCAGTGCCACGCCCAGGGGGGTGCCAGAGGACCATGTGAGGCACGGCACAGGGGCTGAGCATGGGGCGAGCGTCCAGCGCACGCACATCTCCCCGGCTAGCAGTAGCCAGGCCCCCACTGATCGCCAACCCCTCTCCCTCCCGCCCGCAGGTCATCCAGCAGCTGCGGCTCTCGGAGGACGAGAGCCTGGCCCTGCGGGAGCTGCTGGCCTGGCGGCGGGAGCTGTGTGAGCCGCGGGCACCCCCGCCGCCGCCCTGCAGGAAGCCCTCAGCACTGAGCAAGCCCGGAGGGGCTGCCTGCAGCCGCCTGCCTGCGGACTTCTGGGACTCCAGCAGCTGAGCCCACACACCCATCCAGCTGGGCCCACGGACACGCTGTGGCCTCCCACCGCCGGTGCTGCTGACCCCCCACGACAAAGCACAGGACAAGACTCCACGCGTGTGTGTGCGTGTGTGTGCCTGTGTGTGTGCACAACCAAACAACGGAAGAGAACCCCCCAGTGTATGTGTGTGTGTGTGTGTGTGTGTTTGTGTGTGTGTGTGCATATAACCAAACGACGGAAGAGAACCTCTGTGTGTGTGTGTGCGCGCCACAAAGCACAGGACAAGACGTAAGATATACTCCCGGTGTGTGTGTGTGTGTGTGTGTGTGTGTGTGTGTGTGTACACGGCACACGTGTGCACACGACAGCACGGGGCGGGTGTGGAACCCAGGACTCCCCGTGTCTGCATAGTGTGTGCCCCCGAGGTGCTCCTTCTGTGTGGAATGCAGGGTGGATGTCACCCCGATTCCCCAGGCTTCGTGTCTCTCCAGCGTGCCCCCCCAGGGTTCGAAGAAAAGGCAAGAGGGGCTGGGGGCGTGGGGGAGGAGAGCCCCGCGTCCCCCACCCCAGCCTGTGTGCAGGCACCCACCAGCTCTCACCGTACTCCCTGACTCCGTACAACTGGTGCTGACCCTTCTCCGACCGCAGGTTCTAAACCACTGTCCACCCAGCCTTGCTTCCGGCGACCGCCCCCCTCCCCCATGCCAGGACCAGGCACCCGGACTCCACCACAGCCTCAAATTCGCGAGTGGGACCTCACGTGCCCAGGCTCGCCCTGGCCGGTGCTCGGCAGGAGTGTCTGGGCTCTGGAGTGTGGACAGACCGTGGTCTGCCCTCCTGAAACCAAGCGGCTAGCGCCCCCGGCCGTGCCCCCCGGCCAGCACAGGCGCCCAAGACTGCCTGGCCCAGCCCTGCCCGCTGCTCCCCAGCCACCTGCCCCTTTCCCCCCTCCCCCCCGCTCCCCGCTGCCTGGCTTCTAGTGCTCGTCTGCTGGCTGCTCCCGAGCTCCGAGCGTGGCGCCCTCGGAACTGCCTCCCACGGCCTCTGCAACGTGAATGTGCCAATAAAGGCTCCAGCTCTGCCCTGCGGCCCCGCTGCTGCGCTCGCCCGCCTGCCTGTCGTCTGTCCGCGCCCCCGCCTCAGCCCCTGCGTGTGCTGCTCTGGGGCTTGTCGCCAGCCTCAGCTCGGGGGTCTGACAGGGACCATGGGGGAAGCAGCTCAGCCCCTGCGCCCGCGAGTCTCGGAGATCCCAGGGTCTGGGAGAGCACGGAGGCCAGCCCCGAAGGGACGGTCACTTGGGAGAGAGCCGGGCATGGGACGGTCAATGGGGGCACGGACAGGAGGAGGGGGCTCCGGGTGGGCCAGGGGCTGTGGGGGGGGGGGGGGGCTGGAGGCTGTGCGGGCAGGGGGCTGCGTGGGCCAAGGGCTCTGGGGGCTGTGCGGGCAAGACCCAGGACTCGATGGCCCCAGCAGGCACTGCTGGCCCGGGCTATTGCTGTGGGTTTCGTACAGGGCAGGGTTGGGGGGTGGGGGTCAAGCCCAACTGGGCCCTGGGGGTGGAAGCCACAGGAAACACATACTCGGGGGTCGCAGGCAGCCCTGGGCGGGGTCCCCGGACCAGCACAACTGGAGCCCAGTGTGGGAATGGGGACATAAGGACAGAGCATGTCCGAGGGGGCGGGAGCATCCCTGCGTCCACAGCCTGGGCCCGGCTCATTCTCTGTCCCCTGCTGCCTCGGGCACACCGGCTTGGACGGCTCCCCGGTCCCAGCAGAGGCTCGCCCCGTCCCTCAGACCTAGTGTCAGGGACCCGGGGTGCTTCTCGGTGCTCCACGGGGACTCGGTCTCTGGGTACCCAAGCCCCGGCCGCTTGCTAATTGCTCCCAGCCCCACTGTGCCCTGACGTCCACAGGGCAGGGCCTGGGCTGGGCTGGGCAGTCCCCGCTCACCCACGGCCACCCTATCTGCCCCGATATCAGGTCAGCATTGCTGCCCAGGGGCACCCAGCAAACCAAAGAGCCACCCTAGGCCTCTCTAGCACACTGCCCATCACATGCTGCTGGTGGCAAACGGGGACCCCAGAGTATAAGGACAGAAGGCTCTGTGTGCGTGCTGCATGTGCTCTGTGTGCTATGTGTGCTATGTGCTGTGCTGTGTGTATTGTGTGTGCCACGTGTGCTGTATACTGTGTGCTGTATACCGTGTGTTCTGTATACCATGCACTGTATACCGTGTGTGTTATATACTGTGTGCACTGTATACTGTGTGTGCTGTACACTGTGCGCTGTATACTGTGATACTGTATACCGTGTGTGCTGTATACTGTGTGTACTATACACCGTGTGTGCTGTATATTGTGTTGCTGTATACGGTGTGTGCTGTATGTGCTGTATACTATGTGTACTGTATACTGTGTGCGCTGTATATTGTGTTGTGTGTGCTGTACACTGTCTGTGCTGTGTGTTGTATACTTATGCACTGTATACTGTATGTGCCATATACTGTGTGTGCTATGTGTGCTGTATACTGTGTGTGCTGTATACTTGTGTGCTGTGTGCTGTTGTGCTGTATGCTGTGTGTGTTGTGTATACTGTACACTGTGTGTGCTGTGTGTTATATACTGTATTCACTGTATACTGTGTGTGCAGTGTGTGCTGTGTACTGTGAGCGCTATAAACTGTGTGTGCTGTATACTGTGTGTGCTGTATACTGTGTGTGCTGTATACTGTGTGTGTTCTATTCTGTGAGCGCTATATACTGTGTGTGCCATACACTATGTGTGCTGTATGCTGTGTGTGCCAGAGCCGTGCGTGTGGCATGGAATTGGGTTCGGAGCTGGCCCTGTGTGACTTGGGCTCCCGCATGCCCTGGGTGCTCTGGGCTCTCTGGCTATCTGGGCAGCAGAGCCTCCCCAGCCCCTCCCGATCGTGCGGGTGTTGACAGCCCCAGGCCAGCACTTCTGCTGCCCCAGAACCCACAGCTGTAGGAAACCTCCCTCAGCACCGTGATTGTTGTGATGAATACCAGCTTCTTCGCTTAAAAGCACAGTTTTACAAGGGGTCTCTGGAGACCCCCATCGTTTATAGTTAAATACGAATATGTGAAATGGCGGAGAGATGGTCCCATAGGCCAGCCCTTGCCTGGGTGCGGCTGACCCGGGTCCAGACCCAGCACTTGGCATATTCCCCTGAGCCCCGAGCACAGCCAGGTGTGACCTGCAACAAACAAAAGGCTTTAGAAGTCCTTTTCGGGTGGGAGCCAGCGTCCCCCCACCCCCCGTTATCAGCTGTGGATCTGCCTGCTAACCTGCCCCGGGGCCAGCAGTGGCCCCTGGGAACCTGGCGTGGCCATGGGCATCAAGGAGGAGCACCTCAGTCGTGGCCGAGACTGGGAGCACGGCCCGTCAGCTCTGCTGTGCCTCCACAGCCCACGCTCCCATCTAGCACGGCCGAGACAAGGACGGTGCCAGGCGCCAGCGCGACTCACGCACAAGGGTCCCCCGGCCTCCACCGCGGAACTGTCCTGAGTTTCACAGGAAGCACAGGAGGAATCATTTTTATTTTAACCATTCTGAGAAACTCTCCACACCAGCCTTCTATCTGGGATGCCTGTTCTGGGTCAAAGCCGACCCTGTTCCGGGATATTCTCCGGATTGTTTCTAAGCACACGAGCTCCTGGCGAGAGGGTCAGAGAGTCTCATCTCTATTTATTGTGCCCGGTAAAGTCTCGGTGACGTTCACAATTTTCACCAGCGTGGCTCGGCGCGCTGCCTTCAGACAAGTCAAAAATATATTCTGTGCCTTGTTCTGTTTCCTTTACATCTTATTCATAAGCAATGACTTTATCAAACAAATCCTACTACAATGTTCTACCCGTTTGTTACAAAGGTACCCAGAGAGCGAAGGCGGGCGGCCGGCGGGGCGGCAGGCAGGAGAGAATTCCCTTTGAACCGTTTCCCGAGAAGTCCGGGGCGCCCTGGGGAGCTGCATTATGGCAGGCTCGCCAAGTTTCTCTAAAGTCTCGCGCTTTGTAAAATGGCAAGGATGACTTTTTCAAAGAGCGGGTTTTATCAGAAGCCTGTGGCACATCCCTGTCACCTGCTCGTGTCTCAGATCCCTTGGCAGGGTTTTGAGAAATCTGTGTCACCTGAAATAGCGTGTTGGAGCGTGTGCTTTGATGGCATCCTCTGGCCGCTGCTTCCGATGCAGAAGGGGGGGAGGGGCCGTCCCCCCATAAGGGAGCACTCAAGGCGGGCACATGAGTCAGACGTGCCTCTTCCTTCTGCCCCAAAATAGCGCGGATGGCCATTTCCCCACCAGCCCTGGGACGGGGGTGGGGAGGGGGGGCTTCTTCAAAGGAGAGCCGTCAGCTCTGCCCAGATGGCATCCCCCCCCCCCCCCCGCCCCATCACCACTTAGCTTCTTAGGTCTAAATAAAATGAAAGCAGATAAAACTATTGAGAAATTCCAAGGGGAGATCTAAGCTCTGGAGAAAAAAATGGAAGAAAACCAAATGCATTTGGGGTTTGAACTTTGGAGACTTCAGCCAACCAGGGGCTGGAGGCCTGCTTGGAAGCAACGGAAATGCATAAATCCCGGTGTGTTCCAGGCGCCTCCCAGCTTCCCGGCCTCCCCGGGGCCTCTCCCCAGCCGAGAATTGGGTGGGAGCGAGCCCACAGACATGCCCCAAGCTGGTCTCAGAACTCTTACAGGTTCTCGTCAAGTCACTTGAGTGTCACTCCGAAGAGGACCAGGCGGCCAGCCCTGGGCGCGGCGGGGAGTTTCCTTCCCAGAAGTCTGTCGTTGGAGCGTGTGGCCTCTCGGAGTTTGACTCACAGCCCGTTAGTCGGGCTAACGTTGGGCATTTCATTTATTGCCTTGGTTTGTTTGGGGCAGGGAGCGGGCCCACCCCACAGTGCTCTGTACTCAGGGGAGCGAGCGAGCACTTTAGCCCCTGTTCGGGCCTGACATGCTGCCATTCAAGGGAAGGAACGTCCCTGCTCGAGAAAAAGGTGGCT